GAATCAGCCTTTCAGTTCAAGCCTGCTGCAGTCGCTCTTCTTCTTGGAAAGGTCAGTGCTGATCCTTGTTCTGCAGATTCTGACGTTTTAAATCTGCTTGTGGTGTTTTATTTATTTGTATATGGGTGTAGGGTCCACCCAGTTGGTCCAATGACGGTATCCAATGGTGGATGAAGGTTCACTGCATGTTCAGTCTTTCCAGTGCACAATATTGATTTATATTAAACTTAACTCATATCTGACTCCAATTTTAGTATGAGGTGGTTTAGAATATTAATATATTTATCCTCGTTTTATCTGACTCCAATTATAAAACATTGATAAGATTATTTTGTTTCCTTTCACAATATTTTAGATTATGATTGAATATTCTTTTGATTTGTTATTATACCTTATTCTCATTTACTCAGATTCCTATAGCATCTCGAGTCTTGCACCGGCCGGGTATATAATCTCTTAATACAAGCTTGTCAGTCTTGGTCATTAAACAGAGGCGATTAACCACTCTCCTAAAGTGGCAGAACCCTATACTTACTCAATTTAGGAGATTTTTATGTGGTCCCCATAGATCTGTTATCTACTTAATGAAGACAAAGTATTTTAATAATAATCGCACAGGATTATAGGTTTGTAGATGAAGGCCTAAATACCCACATTTAGATTAGTTTCAACAATATTTTGTTGTTCTAAATAGAAAACTCATAGTTGGCCTTTTACAGTCTAAATACTTGAATTAATGCCAATATGTTAGTCGGATCTCTAGCAACATTGTATAGCGTGCCACACTGCTCCGTCTAACATGTTTTAGTCCGTTACTAACCTGTACAGTGGCTTGTAGTGCTATGGACAACAACATTTATCAGTGATAATAACACGAGGACTGTTTGAATAATTCAAAACATAACAATTTATTAGTCAGGTAAATGTGTATTATGCCAATTCAATCAGTCAATTCATAAAAGATCAATAAATACATCAAGTTACCAAAGATAAATCCAAGATTAAAAGATGCATTCCTGACTTTAAAATATACATAACATGGAGCATAAGCTCCATGTTACGGGCTGATCGGGGTAAGCAGAATCGCGCTGAGCCTTTCTCAAACCTTACCTTAAGTAATCCAAGAATTCCCTCAAGGACAGGGGTGTGTGCATAACAAAAGACATTTGCATTTAGTGCTGCCTGTGGAAAAGTCACACCCTTCACAGTGGTTCAAAAGATGCCTGAAGTTATATATTTATTGTTTTGATTATGTCTATTTCTGAGAGAATGAGACCATTGTACCAATCGCACTGAGACATTTCAAATGATATCAAACATGATAGATAAAGTCACTTAGGTTAATCTGGAACATTCAAACATTGAAATGACCATATGTGTGAGTTGGGGTGGTTGAAGCCGAGTTTCAGCAGACTCAGATGCAAATGCAGCAGGAATTGGTTTTTCCCGCATTCCCACCTGCTGGGTTGTGGTCAACAGTCTCTGTTTTCAGCTCATGTTTTGAATTGTCAAAGACATCAAAAATATTTGTAATATTTCAATTCTTACATGGGCTTATTTTTGTGATGAAGAAACCCACAGTAATGATAATAAACGAGTGGATTGTGACAGATCCACAGATGCTTTCAGATTTGTGCTCATCATCTATAAGATTTATCCTTTCTCTTTTTTTATTACAGGTTTTTACAATTGTTTTGCCACAAATTTCAGAACTTTGGTGTCAATTTTCAAAAGTCTAGACACAAAATTCACAACCTTTGCCAAAATTGTACATTTTTGCAAAACTTTTAACTCTTTTTTCAAATGCTTGGATACAACACACACAAGTCAAACATACTTTATTCATTGAACTCAGATCACCTTTTCAATATAACACAATTAAACTTCAAATTGATCCCATTTCAAAATGCAACTCAAACATTACATTTGAAATAACCATGTATTCATTTACTTCACATGATGTTATTATCAACTGATACAAGCACTCCAAATGATGAATAACTGCTGCATTATTGTTGATGTGGGGAAACTGATGTACAATATTACATGTTTAGATGATGAAATAATCAGGATAGATCAAATGACATCAGTTACCACAGAAGATGACCCAACTGAACTACATTACAGTTTTTCTCGATTGCTTGGATGCAGTTGTCAACTGAAACTCCACCTTTTCAAAACAGTTAACACACAGCCCTAAACAGCAGTACTCATGGTCAAAATGACACATTATGCTTGCAAAAGGCACACATCGTGTCAAAACATTTCACATATGCAACAAAAGCTAGTTTTACCTTCAAACAACACAACTTGCAAACAAGTATATGAGCTCTTTCAATTAATCATTACACAATGCACAACAAAATACAAAACTCAAAATGCACCACCATTGCTTGCCATTGTAGCTTATAGCCAATGGCATTTGTTGTCTCTATTTGGGCTGTCAAATTCGCCTTTTTGCAAAGAATTGGATCAAGAATAAGATGTGCTTTGATTGAATTCATATTGAATTCATGACATTTTTCAAACTGTGGCTGAAAACTGAAATACTGTATATAAAAAAAACAGACAAACGTAATAAAATACTGTAAATATTAGAGAAAACACATCTAAACTAATATACAGTCAAATCTATTGGGAGTATAGGACATAGCCATATTGACCTCCTCCATCAATGCTGGCACAGAACTACACAGACCTTCCATCGTTTTTATAAGGTTTGCAGACTGATGGCTAATTGAAAATTTGTGTGAAGGAGTGTCAAACCGGTGCTTCAGTGATTTCATACTGATGTTGGTAGTTTTTAATAGTTAGGAATAGATGGATTCTGATTGGTTACCAAAACTAAAACAATGGAGTTTGGACTGCTTGAATGACATCTGTGTTAACTTTTTGGAAAAATGGTGGGGAAAATGTGTCAACCCAATGAGAAAGGGTTTACACATTTGCAAGACCGGTCCTCTGCTCTGCTGGGATAGTGATAATGAAAATGAAGAAGAACCTAGTTTCTTTAACCAGGTCAAAGCAAACTAGAAAAACTGTATCTATAGATGTCTTTATTCATCCTTAGTCCATATTTATGGTTTCTTTGTTCTGTGTACCACTTTTACAGACAATGTTTATATATTTGACATTACTGTAAGAAAGCCCAGTCACAGCAGACCAATGTCAGGCCTGGATTTACATTGACAGAAGGTTCTTTCCAAGATTTCTGAGTAATGAAAACACCACTGAAATGTAGAGGAGAACCCGTGACCAAATCCACAAGACCAGACTGATGGTAACACAAAATCCCAAAATAGAAATCTGATATATAGAAATATATGCAAATTACATATGTGACATAATAGTTCATATGAATTTTACATATATAAAATATGTTATACATGTCAAAATATTGCCATTTGTTAAAATATTAGAATTACAAATATGTAGATATATGTTACGTATATATATGATCCATTATGTTATATATTTTACCCCTACAAATATATATAAATGATATGGTTGAAAAAAATATAAACAATGATTTTTTTCACTATTTTGACAAATTATTGACTATTATGACATTTTATAATAATGTAATTTGCAGATGGGACCATATATCATGCCATTTATCAGCTTTCTATATGGGGACGTGAAGTGAGAAAAAAAATACAGTAAACCTACATTATGATGGAATGAATAAAACTAGTTCAGTATATCCACTGTCTGCACTGTTTCCCTTTACACTTATAGACCATAATGAATTCTGTATCATATATTTTAAACAACAATATTTAATGATTGTTAATGATTGTTTATTGAAGCGATGTGCATCTTGTGTGCTGCTGGTGATCTAAAGTAGTGTTCCTGTAGTATTTGTATTATAAAAGGATTATGTGAACCAATGATCCTGCAAATGCAAGACTTCTTTAAGGGAATGAATGCTGTATGCAGAACACTGGAGAGTGTTAAAAGTAGTGACTGTTTAGGATTTTGTGTCTAGAGTTTTTTTTAATTGACATCAGGGTTCTGAAATTTGTGGCAAAACAATTGGAAAAAAAACTGTAACACATAATGAAGATCAAGGGCAAACAAATAAATGATGAGCTTAGAGAGTTTTAAATCATTTTAACATACAGAGATGAACATTTGTAGAAAATACATTTAAAGGTGTTTTTAAAAAGTGTTAAATTACTTTAAAACGGAAAAACAAATCGCCAATAGGTGGCAGCAAGAGACCTCTTTAATCGAGTGAAGCTTTAAGTGATTCATTCAGCCACGAATCACTGATTCAGTGACTCGCCCGACTCTATACAGAGTCCTGAATCATTCGTGTAAGGAAACGCCACTGTGTATTATTCAGAGATGGCCAACTGTTCTGCTGTTTATTTTATTATTATCATAGTAATGATTTCACTATTATTAATGAGAAAATAACGCGGAAGTTTTTAGCGCCTTGTCACGTGATCGTCAACATCCATGGCAACGGTTCTATTTGTGTTGTTTTGAACTTCGCTCATTGGCATCTGATCTCGGCGTCCTTCTTGGCTACTGATTCCCAGATTATTGATTGTTGGATACATCGATTGATCGTCTGCTTCTCCCATCATTCAGGTTTGACCCTTGTTATCACACTGTGGTTTGTATTCAGTATGTCTTGTGTTCATTACAGGTTTCAGAGTCGACTCACCTACGACTCGCTCCAGTTTGAGGGCCTCAACATCACTGCGGGAGAGCTGAAGCGACAGATCATGAGGCGCGAGAGGCTGAAGTTCTGCCAGCTGAAGATCAGCAAAGCCCAAACTGATGAAGGTGAGATGAGGAAAAGCCACTTAAACTATACTACACTAACATTAGATGTGTTATCAGACAGACTTGTAGAAGCTGACATGTGTTATCATGACTCTGATGGTGACATATAGTGATGTTTTGAGTGTTTTAAAATGCTAATGGCACTCAAAGTATACTATGGTAAATGATTATTAATATATAAACTTTATTTTGCTGTCAGAATACACAGATGATGATGCTCTCATCCCCAAAAACATGTCGGTCATCATCAGACGGGTCCCTGCTGCTGGACTGAAGTCCTCCAACAGAAGATTTGTTGGGTAAGTCATGTGAAATGAGCGCAATCATCCTCTGATAGATGTTATATCAAGAGTTTGAGTCTGTCTGTGGTGTTTTAGTCACACAAGCTCCTTTGTTTTGCAGCCATCAAGCTGGACCATCAGCTAAATCTTCTCAAACTGGTGATTCTTCACTCCTCTCACTGGAGCAGCTGTTGAAGGTATTGAACAACTGATTAATTCACCCCACTGTGCTGCTCTGTATTGAACTGCAGTGTTTGCATTTGAGGCGTCATAATGACATGTAGTGCAGAATATAAATACACAAAGTAAAACACACAAACGCACACACACACACACACACACACACACACACACACACACACACACACACGCACACACACAGCTTCTTAGGCAGACCAGTAAAATAAAATTCTAATGTGCAAATGCCTGTGAAACAGACTGAGAATCTGGCTGAGGCAAAGGCATCAGAGGAGGACAAGCTAAAAGCGGTGATGTACCAGTCCAGTCTGTGCTACTACTCCAGCAGGTGAGCGTTCAGACACTGACAGGTTTGGTTTGTGAGAAATGTTAGAGCTGATTCTCATGGTTCTGATGTTCATCAGTGAGGCCATGACACTGCTTGGGCTTCTTCCACCCAACTATGTCTGCTTTCACTGTGGGATCCCAGGACACCACATTAGGCACTGCCCCTCTAAAGGGGTAACTGGGTTTTCTAAGCTTATGGTTGCTGTGAACTTGAGCTCTTGTCTCCATCAGTCAGATTGTTTGCTCTGTCGTTTGACTGTCACTCATGAATTCACAGGGCAGCAGCTCTGCTTCGCATAAGCGCATCCGGAGGAGCACAGGGATTCCCCGCAGCTTCCTGTTGGAGGTGGACGACCCAAACCGAAAGGGAGTCATGATGGACGGCAGCGGCAAATACGTCATTCCCATCATAGACGCGTGAGTAAACTGTACTTGGCATTGCAGCATGTTCTATTGTTTGTGAAAATCTCACATTATGTCTGCTTGTGTGTGTTTGCGCTCGATCTGTTCAGTGAGGCCTATGCTGCTGAGAAGAAAAAGAGGCCTTCCTTCTGCCAGACCAAGCCGCTGCCCTCCTCTTCCTCAGCTGGTGCAGCATCTTCAGTCCAGGATGCCAGAGGGAAACGTTCCCGCTCCCCATCTCCACCAGAGACGCACGGAGACCAGAAGAGACCACGTCACTGAGAGACCTTTACTCAAGAGACCTGGAGCCGACGTGAGCACAGTGTATATATTGTACATAGTTTATGAATAAAACTTAATAAAGATTATAGCAGCATAAACTGTGGACTGGTTGACCTTCACACAATACAGAAACACAACAGAAAATGATCAACACATTAAGATAGAAATGATGAACAAACATGCTGCGGGAGAACCAGTGTGCTGTCCTGCTCACAATCTAAAACTTTTAGTTAAAGTCTTTTAAATGTTAATCAGAAAAAAATAAAACGCTGAACAGATTTTATAGTATTCAATAGTTTTTCTCATAAAGGGGAAAAGTTCAAGAAACATGGAAGAAAAGGCGGCATGTACATATTTTTAAAAATCCATTGGAATGACAAAGATGTGCATGCTCTAATAAGTCATTTTGGCTGTGTTCATATGGTGTCCTTTGGTGGTTTCTATTGCTGTTGTTGTTTACTGTTCAGCTGACTTAAGCAAATAGATTTCTTTAAAATGTAGCTATTAAGGGAAAAAATAATGTATCTTTATATATATATATATACACACATGGCCTCGCTGTAGGAAGGCTGCTGGTGGGAGTCCCGACTGGGTCAGATGGCATTTCTGTGTGGAGTTTGCTTGTTCTCTCCGTGTTCATGTGGGTTTCCTCTGGGTGCTCCAAACCCATGTGCTATGCTGTAGGTGAATGAATAAACTAAATTAGCCATAGTGTGTGTGTGTGTGTGTGTGTTTGTGTGTGTGAATGAGGGTGTATGGATATTTCCCAGTACTGGGTTGCAGCTGGAAGGGTATCCGCTGTGTAAAAAATATGCTGGATAAGTTGGCAGTTCATTCCGCTGTGGCGACCCCAGATTAATAAAGGGACTAAGCTAAAGGAAAATGAATGAATAAATTGATTGATTTTATTTAACAATTTTAACAAAAATATACAAACAAGTCCAGTTTGACATTCATATCTTAAAAACTGTCGAGGATAAAATACACAATAAAGCCACAGGCTGATTTCCTTCGTGGTCATCGATATTCTTAAAAAATGAACGAGCAAATCATAAAGTGCAAACATCATCAGCTCAGAAACTCAGCACAACAAAAATCCTCAACTTCAACCGTAAAACAGCCATTTTTTAATTTCCTCTATAAAACTCTCAAATTGAATCAATTTAAAACTCCTCGGCAGTATATTCCAAGCAACAGTACACAGAAAAGACTTTCTACCTGTTTCACTATTAATTCTACAAGGACAAATACCCCTGCTACTCGCTCTTGTAGAATGACAGTGTACCTCACTAACTAAAACTTGATAAGTAAATATTTTGGGACCATTTTCTTTAAAATCTTAAACACCATCACCAATTTCAGAAAAGTGACCCTTTTTCCAACTTTTAATAAATTAATTTGACTATAATATTCATTATTTAAATGTGTCAGTGGAAGTACTTTGATAACAATTCTGCAACTTATTTTGGGCCGTCTGCAATTTATTTTTCATTTTTGTCGAACTACTGCAAAAGACTGCAGCATAGTCAAAGTATGACTGCACTAATGCACTAGCCAATATTTGTAAAGTTTGGAAATCTAAGAGCTCTGTCTGTCTTGCTAAAAACTTAATTTTAGAACTTTTGAATGGACTATAACAGCCATCTTCTCACCTGTCAAATTACTGTCTGAAATGCAACCTAAATATTTCCCTTCATGTTTGTGTCCATTAATTTGATGCTCTACTTTTACCTCTGATCTGACACATTTTCTCAGTTTCGCAGCTGAACCAAATAAAATAAATTCTGGTTTACACAAGTGTAAGGACAATTTATTAAGGTTAAACCATTAAGAGACTTCCTCAGTTTGTTCACTTATTTCATTTTCAATAAATTCCTTCCTCTCATGAGACACAATTATTGCTGCATCATCCGCATTTAACAAAAGCTTTTTTGAACAGGCCATTTTCAAATCATTGATGTATATTAAAAAAGCAAAGGACCTAAAACACTGCCTTGTGAAACCCCATAAGAAACGGTCGAATAATCTGAAAACACACCATTTAAATCTACTATTTGACATCTGTTTTCAAGGTAAGACTTCATGCATTTACAGGCCAAAACACCAAAACCCATTGCCTTTACTTTTAAAATCAATATCCTGTGATTGACTGTATTGAAAAATTTTTGCAGGTCTAAGAAAACCATCCCACTTAACTTCCTTTATCCATATCTCTCTTTATATAATTTGTTAAATAAAAGAAACTGTTGAATCAGTGGAATGATTTTCCTAAAACCCGATTGAAACTCTACAATACGTCACATTTTAAACAATATTTTTCAATGTGCTAATAAATAACTTTTTCCCTCCCTTTTGACAAAGCACTCAAAATTGATACCAGCCTAGAATTATTAACCTCAAACCTACTACCTTTCTTAAAAAGAGGAATAACTCTTGCTTTTTTCAACTTTACCTTGACAAATAGAAAAATTGATAATATGTGTAACCATCGGAGTGAAGCATTTAGGGAGTCTTTGAGGGAACTGCACTGGAATATTATCTAACCCTGTTGCTTTACTATTTTGAAGTGTTATTAATTTCTTAAATATATCCCCCTCCTCTATTTTATTAAACAAAACTTTCTAGATTAAAACTGCATTTGGCATAATACTCTATAATATAATTTATCAATAAAAATGCCATTTTGTACTGGAAGCTTTTTAACCGTCAATATCAGGTGGTATTAAAAAATAATTAACAATGTCATAGTCAGATATAATTAAAACAAACATGATGAAGCCAGAAAATCTGGTTGTGACCTACCCGTGTGTTACTTTTGTTTCTGATGGGGCCAAAAATTATAATGTGCCATTTATGTTTAAAGTAAAATTATTCTCTATATATATTTTTTAATTTGATATATTTTCAATTAAATTCAATATATTTCTGTCTAAGGCATATTTTTAAAATATAGACATGAAATTGAGATGATTTTTGTATTTTTGTTTACAAATAAACTTTCTGAAGTCTGCTAGTAAACTTTTAATTATTACTTACTATTAATAATGCATATAGTCATCATACATCTCTAAATCTTTATTTCTTCAGTTTTACAGTTAGAAAGACAAATCAAAGTTTAAAAAAAAAAAAACTAGTGTAAAAGTCTGCGTCTCTCTGTGTCGCTCAGGCTGCACTGCAGTGTCTATTCACAGGCACGATCCCACTACTGATCGGCACGGGAGCTTTGACCTGCTCCGTTTCCGACCTGGGCCGGTTCACTCCTCCTTTAATGACCTGGCGGTCCCAAGCTCACCCAGGTGCACCATATTGATACCGAACTTAGTGTGGGCACCCGATCGACATAGTCCACTGCAGTCCAGAAGCCCTGAGCTCAAGCGATCCGCAGCCTCAGCCTCCCAGTCAGGGGCGGACTGGGACAAAAATTCGGCCCTGGCACTGTAGCCACACCAGCCCACATTACCACACCGACACAGCCCCACAGACGGACACGCACATTTCCTACTTATATTGGTGTACAGATGGTGAAATAATATAAGCAGAACCATATATATCTAATAGATATTTAAACATTTAATGTATGTGACTAGAACAAAAACAACCTGTTTATAACAAATTCATACAGTAAAACTAAATTAAAATAATATGTGAATCTCGTAGAGTCTGTGTGCTACCTGTTTATACCATTTGTCTGCTATTTATTATAGAAGTAACCTGTGAATGTGTATCAAACACACACACACACACACACACACACACACACACACACACACACACATACACACACACACACACACACGCACACACACACACACACACACACACACACACACACACACCTTTACAAACAAATGGACATGCAGCACTACATTCAGCATACTTTTGTTCATAAACAATACTTGTCATTCCCTGAAGTGTTGTTCTTTATTGGCACGGTCTATAGCAGGGGTGGCGAACCGGCGGCTCGCGAGCCGCTTGCGGCTCTTTTACTGCTCTTGTGCGGCTCAACCTCTCGCGCGATTTAACATACATTAACCAATTGACTAACGCCCCATTCACACGGTGCTTCTGCGTCTCTTTCTGCTTTTGTGCGGCTCAACCTCTTGCGCAATTTAACATATAATAACCAATTGACTAATGCCCCATTCACACGGGGCTTCACGTTGCTCGCTGCAGAAACTGGGAGTAGCTCAACTTTTCAAGCGCTTACGGACGCGTTAGCCAATCAGATCGCTGTATGCAAATACACCTGCTAGAAAGTGGCCTATTGCTGACTGAATTTTATTTTCTGCCGCTTCCATTCAGACACGCCTTCAGTCAAGGGTTGACACTGAAGCCCCGTTTGATTGGGGCGCAACACGAGTGACGTGCAGTTCGTTAATATCAATCGTCATGGCAGAGTCAGGAAAGCGTACAGCTAAGCGTAAATACGAAGATGAGCGCAGAACATTTTTATCTGAATGGGAGGATTTATATTTTTTTGTTGAAAGAAATGGAAAGCCATTCTGCTTGATATGCCAGACTTCGTTGTCACATTTTAAGGCTTCAAATCTCGAGCGCCATTTCACCTCTCTCCATTCTGCCGTAGCC